GCTGTGTTCAGATTTGCTTCCTGAGTTCCAAATCCACTAAAATGTCTTATTTATATGAGCATGACCCAGTGATTAAAACATTCCAACTCATTTAATTAGGTATGCATGAGTATGTATATATGTATGTATGTACATATGTTTTAGAATTATTCAGTCCAAACAATAACAACAAAAAAACTGTTGAAAAACTGTTGACACAAAAATGCATAGAACTCGTTTCGCATTCAAAAGTCAGAGGCCCACCATAAATGTCGCACTCGAACTAAAATTCTGTGTGATAAGCAATTAAATGCTGCTGATCTGTGCCCCTGTTTGTTAAATCATCCATGAATATTGCAGAACCCATTCTGATTGCCTTTCTAGTCTTGCAAAAAAATACAATCTAAGCAATTACTTGCTACGTCTTTAAAGCAGTCTAAACGGGTATTCTGATTTCGCTATGCAATTTGTAATTTGGCAATTAGAGTGAGTTCTTCCTCTGTTGGTGTAAGTTAAAGTGAAAGGCAAGCTTAATAAAGTTAAAAGAATTTAAATTTATAGAATCTCTTAACTCGTGTATATTGTGAACATAAAAATGAGATACAAGTTTTTAAAGAAAGTAGCTTAGATTAGTTTCTAGGGTAGATGCTGCTCATTCTGCTACATTTATGTATAAATAAATGTGCGTATGCCTCTGCTGCCGTCTAACGGAAGTCGAAAACTGCGTATAATTAAGTTTTTCAAAATTAAGGATTGCAAAAAATTGCGTAAGCAGCCAGCTAAGCATAACCGATCTAAATTTCAGGGTGTGGAAAATACTTTTGAGCAAGCATCTGCTCAGCTTGTTGCAATAGCTCATATCAGTTTAGCTAAAACCGTACACAAGGCACTACGCACAGTGCAAATCGAGGAAAAGGATTACTTAACACTTGGATGGGCTTTTGGAAAACCCACCCCAAGTCGGGCAAGCGAACGGATAATTGTTCTATGAAAACTAATTGTTTTTTCAGCCGATTGGGTTCCATATTAAAATCTAATTGGAAACGTGCCTAAATTACAACCCCAGATTTGAAGATGTTTAGAAAACTGTATGATAAAGTGTAAAATCAGTGACTAGTGCTTAAGCTTGTTGAACTTGAAAAGAAGAAATCAATATGCATCAAATACACGATAAAAGTGACAAATTTATCGCAATTTGTTTCATTTATATATCATTTAAGTTTAAGTTCAGTTATCTATTAACTCCGCACATTTAGTGGGAACCTGTTTCGCCATTTGCATCTATCATTAAAAATTTGATTGATTATTGTGTGATGTTCATGTAATTAAGCTATTAAAAGGTATATTCATGAGAAAAGCGTTTCAAAATGGCAGCTGGCATTGAATTTTCTTTCTTGATTTCGATTAGTCGTTGATTGCTACTACACTCAAAAAAAAAAAGCCTCGTTTAGAAAATCTCTGTGAAATGTATATAACCCTTCTGTGTTTCTGGCAGTTAGAAATGATTTCTGAATATTTTTTTATTTTTCAGAGATATATTTCTTAATAATAATAAAGATTTTAAAAGAAACCCTTTCTGAAAATTCTTATTAATAAGGTGATCTATCCTCGACGCCAAAATTCAGTGCGAATTTTTGTCTTTGTGTATAATTGTTAGCAATATATGCACATCTAGACAATCTTTAGCATTGGCCAACAAAATCTCACACAATTTAAATATTATGCTTTTGGGGCTTTGAGCCTATCTATCTGAAGAGGGGGTATTATTATTATGGCCTGTCGGATGGCCTGTTGTTTGTTGTAGTATTTGTAGAAGTATCTTGCGGTTATTATTGTCAGCGCGCTTTCAGAACAAGTTTCGCATTGTGTGAGTCAATTGACCCAAATTACTCGGCTCTCGGTCTTTGTGTCTGGTCTCGGCCCCAGCTTCAGAGACTCGCCTGCTATCTCTGGCCTGGCCAGGCCGGGCCTGGTCTGCCTGCCTGCCTGCCTTGTCTTTTGTAGTAGACGTGTCGTTTTTGCTGTTCTTTTTTAGTAGGTCGCACTTACAAACAACACAAAAATCGGCTTGAACTTTGCTAAACACAAGAGCAACTATGCATCACAATGGGAATCGCATACAAATTGACAATGGCTGCTTGTTGAACTATGTATCTTAACGAGCTTAATAAAACTGAAGATATAGATCGTGTAACTTTCAAATCGATCGTCACACTTGACTTGACGGGAGAGTAACAGTAAAAACCATAAAATTCTAATTTGATTTATTTACAGTTGAAACAGTTTTGCTCCTCCTAAAGTAGTAGCCATTTATCTGTTGTAATTAACCTCTGACATATAGTAATCCCAAGACAATGCCTTACTATTTTACTATTAGATTGTATCTGCCTTTCAGTTGCAACAACATTTATTCACACTTGCTCTTATTCGTCGTCGTCGTCGTCGTCGTCGCCTCATCTGCATTTCTGCACTTCTGCACTTCGAGTTATGCAAAGAAAATGCCGCAATCGTTCAACACAAACGCAAGAAGAAAACCAAAGAAAAACACGTAAGAACATTACAATCGGGCATAACCGACTCACTAATACTCTGTCGCCAATTTTAGACCAGCTGTGTATTTGATAATTCAAACAGAACAACTGTTGAAGACATACATAAATATTCAAGATATATATTTATATTATTGAAATATAAGTTGTATTTATTATATATAGGTAGACACCAGAAGCATATTTTAATTATAACAAAAGGTCGCCAGGTCAAAAACATTATGTTCAGCAAAATTGAAGTTGTAAACTGAACAATCTACCTTAAAGTATATTTTTATATTAGTCATTTACCAAGTTACATACTTTTGAATGCTTATATCAGCATTTTAAAATGAATTCACAACTATTTAACTAAAAAATAATAAATGAATCCAAGTAGATACAATTTTTTTATTATTCACTGTGGATAGAAATTGTAGTTATAGTGTATAGTGTGTAGTGCTAATTTGTATATATGTTGGTCTCCAAGTGTGGTGGCTTTAGCATTAAAATTGTGGTAGATATTTATTAAATTCGTACTTATGAATGTTATCGAAGTTTATCTGATGCGTTTATAGTCGAATATATATTGTAAGATCCACTAGCTTTAAGGAAGTCGATCATAAAAGACAGACAGACGAGGCATTGCACAAAACTAATATACTCTTTCTGCCATGTTATCAGAGTATAAAAATCGTCCACAAATTTTTGGTTGCTTCTTGTTGCTTGTTGCAAAAGCTTAGAGAAACTTTTGCCAACTCTTTTTCCAGCCAATGCCTTGGATGCTCTTTCAAAATGAATAGCATTAATGGTATTATGACTTGTTATTTAAATTTCATCTTCACAGCCAAACTTTTCTTCGATGTTGGAAAAGTAATATTTACAAAGCCAATTTTCGTAGTTTTACTTGTTAGATTGTCTTACGTAGGAGATATTTATTCAGCATAAAATGCTGCAGGGTATTTCTGAGTCAATCACTCAAGACTAGATCAAGCAATTGTGGATTTGTTTGTTGGGCTCGGTGTCTTCATTCAGGTGTTTGCTTTGTGTCTGTAATCACTCCGTTATTGTGTTGCTGCTGTTGCTGCTGCTGCTGCTGCTGTTGTTGTTGTTGGTGTTGTTGCACATTGTCATTGGTGTTGCCTATTCTGTTGCTATTGCTGTGGCAACTGTTGTTGTGCTGTCTTTGTGCATTTGCACCTTGAGTGCATAAATTACGCGTATGCATTTCCTCGTTTACTCACAGCACCAAAAGCGAATAACTCACTTTAAACCACAGAGCTGTTTAATTCACGATTAGACTGATCACAGTTTTGGGCTTGAGTCTTTTATGTGTAATAGAGTGCGACCAACTTTGGATGCAAGTTTATGCCTCTGAGTCAATAACTACGTCAGAGTCGAGTGCCGTCTCATTTAGATGCAATGCGTGACGTCACGTTGTTCCCCCTAGAGGCAACTGTCTGCATGTTAAACAGTTCACTGATTTGTTGCATTTCACTTGGGAGCGACTGATTTGCAGTCAGACTGAATTAAAACCACTAAACAAAGCTTTAACAAGACCAACGCTCAGCTGGTAAGAGCTATGTTTTATTGGTGGTAAAAATAAATAAAGAGAAAAATATGTTTATTTAACGACTTATTCGATTCATTAAAAAACTACCAATTATTCGTATGAAAACTATATGATCCGATGCTGATAATTTGTTTTCCCAATGCTAGAAGCATAATAACACACACAGCTGGTGAGTTTAATTAGGATAACTCTTCAAAAAAAAAGATTTTCATACAAGAACTCATCTTTCGATCAATTTTAGCTGTCAGCTTATGATAAATTAGTTTAATTTAGATAATTTGTAGTCCAAATTTTTGTTTCCAAGTTGCAATTGAGGTATTACTTCTAAAGAGACAGACTCGAATCGGCTAGTGATGCCGCCGATAAAAGTATAATATCTTTTGCCCCCGATTTTAAATTCCTACGATTCTGAGTTGACATCGCCTTTTATCCTAAGCCATTCATCGTTGAACTTTCATTGTTTGTGGCTGAAATTGCAATTGTTGTCACTGGCAAAACTTTGGCTTCATTTCAAGAACTGCAACGCAAAAGTTTTTTGGAACAATTTTTTGTGTTTGCAATCCTGAAAGGCTGAAGGCCACAGAAGACGGATGTGGGCAGAGAATAAATTTTATATTAGATTTGTTTTGAAAAATCCAGTTGATTGGCTTTAAATATTCAAGCTTGTTTGCCGGTTGGGCTCTGAATTGAATTTCTGTGAACTCTTGAATTTGAAAGCAAAATCTATTTTATATATCGAATATTCACTTAGAATTTATTAATTTTCTTATATATATTTATATTTATATAAAATTTATACAAATGAATAATAATCATATTATACAAAATTAAATTCCAAATTTATTCGATATCGAATATAATCAAATAATTTGTAATATTCACTAATAAGACTTTTTTACATTTTATTCATTGCAGTTTTCTTATACAACTCCTGCGCAACTATTGCTTCCAAATAAAGTTAATTATAAATCGCCAAATAAGTAATCAACTACACTGAAAGGAATTTCAGCTACCAAACTAGCGACGATATAAACGCTAAATAAAATGTGGAACTCTTAGATATTAAAATAAAGGTGAGTAGGTCTGAATATTTGTTTTCTTATGGCAATTTATACTGAAAATTGGTTCTTAAACTAGTCAGAACTCATAGCGTTCCACATTCCCTTAGAAAGTTCGGCTATACCATTGTGGATCGCATATTAGTCAAGTTCGCAACGAACCGCATGTGGAACGTGTAGTCGTGACACCAAACGCACAGCCAATACTCAAGCCTCACCAACGAGGAGCAGTTGAGTGCGTATAAGAGTAGCATCAGGGTTCAAGTCTCGACTGATATTTACTCAGGCTTATACGTATGCGAGAGTATGCCTCAGCGACGTATAAGAGTAAGAGTAAGATATTCGTTCAAGAGGCTTTTTTTTAAGTGTGACTTTAACTGCAATTTCTTCCGGTTGAAATTAAGTTAATGCGAACATTTATCTTAGAACCGCTGCAATAAGTTTATTGCCCATCGCTGAAGCCGTGTTATTTATACAGTAGCATGTAGTAAATATATATATAAAGATATATCGCTGTTAATGCAACTTAATGTGGAAAATTAGTTGTAAGCCTCAGCGTAGAAATGAATTAGTTTTCTTTGTTATTCACTAGTCGGTTCTTAAGAGAATGAAGAGAGAGCCGAACACTTACAAACGACAAACAGCAAAACACTATAAATTTTAATGTGATTTTTTGTTGTAAGTGCTTGAAAAATAAATAAAAATAAAAAACAGACTTGCATGCATAAACCCATTTGTAAGCTTCCTGGTCCGAGCAAAGCTGATTAATATCAATTAGTTGGTCATAATCTATGAAATTGTCGAGCTTAATAGTTTTCCCAAAAAGAAAAACATTAAGAATTTTAAAAATTCACGCGCTGTAACTAATTGCGTGGACAGCATTGTATGCGTGTTTTTAAAAATCAATGCTGAAATATACTTCTAAATATATGTTTAGCTCTATTTAATTTGTCATAACTTATTTGTTTATTAATCTCTTCTAGCATTTTTGCTTTTGACTAGTTTTGCAACACTGCATTTTCCGCAAGCGAGGAGGAGGCACCGGCACCTTTGGCCACAATGGATATCCCAGATGCTGGACGCATAATCCGTGCGCCTGCTCGACGCAAACGCAACGATGAACAGCTTATGGACAGGGTGAGTCGAGTCTAAATTTAAATGGATCGTAATACTCCAGGTTTTGCTCCAAGTGCGCTTACTGGGTCACATTGAAGTTTTTCCACTTTAACACTTTACTCGAGTTGACAACTTTTCCACTTTGTCAAATCATTCAAATCTCAGTTTTTCAGTTTTTCTGTTTTTTTTTCGCTTCTCTTTTTGACGTTTCATTGAACTCGATCACGATCTATTTATGGTCCGCCAGCAGCGTACGATCCAGTTTCCAGTCACACACACACACACAGCAAGTTTCCCGCACACAGAAAACTCTACATGTTATATGCACAAAAAATGAAAGTTATATTGTCGCATTCAAAAGACGCCCGCTCCCAAAAAAGAAGAAAAAAACTCATTTGTATAAAATTTTTTGTGACTGTTGCTTCGATTTGATTAATTACGTGTGGATTTTCTTTCAATTTGTATAGATCATGCTCGATATTAGAAGAGAAATTTCACTTGATATTGCCGCTGACCCAGTTTCCCAACCTTATACGAGTACCTTACCTTCGCTGCCCACTATCGTCGTTTAACAGTTGATCAGCTGACAAGTTCATTAACATGTAACGAAAATCCGAAAACTCACCACACCCAACATCACCGTCTCGTGGCCAGTTTTCAGGCTGTATAACCCACAATTAGCGCGCATTGAATTTCACGCAATTAAAAGATACAAAAATGATAATAAAAACAATGCTCCGCTTTAAACAATAGCAACAATTAGTTGGTTTTATGTCAAGTTCAATGCACGCAGTCGCCAGACGCTAACACCGCCCACGCTCTTCGGAAAAGCTCCCCAATAACAACAGATGTGCAAAATACTATTAAATAATAATAAAAATCACAAGCAAGACAACTTACAGAGCGTGAGTGCGAGGGAGAAAGAGCGCGCAAGAGACTTTCTCTCTCTTTGAAAAGCACACGACAAAGCAGAAAGCAAAAGCTTCGCCGTGTTGTGTGACCTTTTAACCAAAAGCCAACTTCACCACAGCTGCAGCAGCAAACAGCTGGCACGTCGCCACTCCACCAAAACAAACAAGCGAAGTTTGAGAGTCACGATCTTAGCTCGCTCGCTCTCTCTCTCTCTCTCTCACTTTAGCACTACTCTCTGATCTGTGCTGAAAGGTTTGCTGCTGCTAGTGCCTTTTACTTGCTCAGCTCGCTTCGCTCTCTCGGCACAGCCGCTGCGCCATTGGCTCTGCGCCGTTTGTCAGCCGCTGCGCTGTTTCAGTTACAATTTGTATTTCACTTGGTGCGCGATTTTTCTCGCAGCGCTGCTCGTTCATCGCATCGCATCGCATCACATCCACCCACCGCACGACCGACCGCCCGCCCGCCTCTCCGTTTTGTGGGTTGCTGCGCTTGCATTTCGTTTTCGTTGTGGTTGCAATTGCAATTTTCTCGTGCATTTTTTGCAATTTGTAATAGGCAAGCGAGCAGCGCAGTGCAAAGGAATTGTTTGTGTACAAAAATCGCAACAGAATTCTCCAAATGAACCGCGACCCGCTTTTCATTATTATCTGCCCAAAATAAAAAAACAAAAAAATAAACACTGCGATTTTCAAGCGGCCTTCGGACATATTCGGTGCGTGTAATTCGGTCGTCGTCGTCGTCGTTGCTGTCGATGGTGACGCTGACCGCGACTGAGACTGCGACTGCGACAGCAGCGTTTTCACAGATAATTAGTCGAGACGCGACGAGACGAGATTCTCTCGCCCAGTTTAAATGACCAAAATGACGTAAATTATTTTGTGTAACAACCACAACAAGAGCAAATTTGTGACGGGAACACTGCCAATCCCCAACCACCATCCCTCAAACCCCAAAATATACACAGTATATTGTGTAAATTATTGTGCAGCCCATTTTGTTGTTTGGCCTTGTTTTTGTTAATCAAATGAAATGATTAGATCACGAAAAGGGGCAAAAGTTAAAACGAAATGGGCAAAACAAAACGGCAAAAACAAAATAAAATGCAATTAGAATTCCTTCGACAATTTCAGTAGAGAATGGAAAGGGACTCCAAAGCATCCAAATAAATGCTCATTAACAAGAAATAAGACATAAGAAAAAAGACAGAATATTGCTAATTGACGTAACCGACTACGCAATACTCTACGTAATCAATGACAGATGAAAACAGGTGAAAGATAAAGCTGTAAAATGGAAAAAGAAAGAGAGAAGACATAGTTGCTTATAGAGTCTGTATATCTGAAGATGTAACTGTGAAACAATCGCTTTAAAGAAAAATGCGGAAAGAAAGAGGGAAAGAGAATATAATTTGATTGAGTTTTGAACTTTAAAGATGGAAAGAGAACATATTTGGTTATAGAAGCTGTAACTGTGAGACAATCATTCTAAAACTGTGACTTAACCCATGCTATATGGAAAGGAGAAAAAAGAAAGAAAGAGAGAAAATGGAATTTGATTATAGAGTTGGTGGCTTTAAAGTTGTGAGTAAGAGACTATCAGCTTGCATCTGTAAGCCGTGTTATATGGAATAGAATCAAATAAAGAAAGACAGTATCTTTATTTATAAAGTTTGTGACTCCAAAGCCTTGATTCAGTGAATCTAAAACTGTGACGAAAACACCAATCTATGGAAAGGGAAAACAAGAAACAATGAGAAAGCTGCGACTGTGAGACAGTCTCTTCAAAACTGTGGGAAAGAAGGTCTTATATGTGGATTGATCTTTAATTGACATCTTTAGTGATATTTATTTAATATGTATTATTCAACTCTAACTCATATATAGTATTTTCCCCCGTGTGAACAGGGTACAAAATAAAAATAAAGTTCACACAATTGTCGCCGCTATTTTTTTTATTATTTTTTTTTTGGGCTATTCACTGATAACGAGACTCAGAAGAGGTGTCCGTTAGAAAGTGAGAGGGAAATGGGGGAAAAAGAGCAGTGCAAAATAAGTTAAAAAACACTATCAAAAAGACACTTAAATAAGCTGATAAGAGATAACGGCAAACAGCGAACAATAAGAGCAGGCAAAATGAGAATAAAGCGCACCAAAGAGAATTGCGAAGTGTTTCACTCACAACAATGTGTTAATTCTAAAGAAACTAGAAACCTAAACAAAAACATAAAGTAAATAAATAAATATGTATTATGTAAAGGTTGTTATGCTATTTCAGTGTTGACTTAATGGATTAAATAAAGTTGAGCTCAATTTGCATACTAAAGTGAAGCACAGAGAAACTAGAATGAGGCAATCGTCGAATGCTCTCTAATTTATTACTATTATTATTCGTCGTAATTGGAACGTAACAAAAAGAACCCCAAAAATGACACGCCTCAAGTGTTAAACTATATATATATATCTATCATTTGGCTGATGTGGCATGCGCAGACAGGTCCATAAACCCAAAAAGACAATTGACAATTGACATTTACATAAACTCGCACATCGAATGAAAGTCAAACAACAACAACAACAAACACAAACAGCAGCACAGTATACAATGTAACGGTGCCGCTCAGCTGTGGCAACTGTAAATCGTCAAGTGTTAAACACACAACATTCAAAAACAACAACAACAGCAGCAACAAAAAGAGAGTGCAAAATTTGTTTATTGTTTAAATCAACACAAACAGCAACAACAACAACAATGCGCCATTTAATCATGACCCCAACGTCGCTGTCGATTTCAACGCCAACGCTGTCGTCGCTGCATCATCAGCGCATGTCGCAGTCGCAGTCGCAGCTGACGCTGCAGTCACCGTTGACGCCGCATTCGGCATCGCCATCATTTTTCGGCGTGCCCAACTCCCCACAATTTCCAGCCAACTATCAGCGCAGCGAAAAAGTGAGTTTATGCCAATCCAACTCCACCTCCACCTTTGACTTTAACCATAATGTGAATGCGAGCTTATGCTTGTGTGTGTGTGTTTGTGTGTGTCGGTGTGGTGAACTTTTGGCAAGTGTGAATTATGAATGAATTGTCGCTCAACAGAGGTCGAGCATTGAGTTAATTGCTTTGCATTAATTAAATCAAAAGCTCATATTCTCTGGGGGTATGTCACGAAATGTGCTTAAATCAGAAAGCTCTTTTGATGAAGCGGATCACAATTTCACACTGATCGCAGTTAAAAATTTAGCTGTGTTATAAATAACTCTTGCAATTGAATATCTCTTTTGTCTCTTATATTTCAATAGTTGTATGTGTGATTTGCTAGACAATTTATTAAACTAAGTGGAGCAATGCTAAATGTAATTTCTGCTCATCTTATATTATTCTGTTGGGCTTTATATTTGGCTACCTCATTCAATTTGGAAGATACCAAATCTATTTTTAGATTTCTTATCAACTTTTTTTTTAAATATTGATTAAATTTAATACAATAAATAAAGAGTGGTTTCAGTGGCTATTTTTAGGGCTTAACTAAACGCTTGCTGACTTAAGGTCAATGTTGGCTATTTATTTTTATCGATAACATAAGCAAACAAGTAAACATATCTATTTCTGCTGATTAATAAACTCTGTTATCTTCTTCCGGCAAAGTTTAAAGGCGTTGAGAATTGCAAAAATAAATAACAAATATCCCATAAGTGATATGATTTGATTTTTACTGACACTTCCCTTAAAAAAGAGCTGTACCCAAATAAGGCGTAATCCTTTCCGTTTCAAAGTTTTCCTCCCATTATTGTCTGACCTTTGAATATGCCGGTAATTGCCACCGACTAACCAGCTAACAAACTAGTTAACTTAGTTATTATCCCTCCAAGTTCACTTTATTTTTATTTCGCTCATGCAATTTGCTCAAACTTTTTCAAATGTCAGCGTCGCAATTTGTCGAACAATTATCTAATTTGTTGTTAGCCTTTTGCGATTTGGCCTATAAATTGCGTAATGCGCTATAATTAATCCGAGAACAACATCAGCGATTCTAACAGCGATTCTAAGCAGCTACATTTGATTTACCAACTTTATTTTGGACCTGCGCGCCAAGTTCAAGGTTCAAGCTGGGA